ATCACATGCTTTCTGTATTCGTGAATAACACACAAGACACTCAACAGTAACCCGCCATTAGACTTGACCAACAGTTAGAAGAAAGAGGAACACAAGTTGCAAGAACTGATAAGGGCAACAGTACATGCAATGGCGTCATAGCTACACGTGAAACCCGAGATGAGTTCATACATATATACATGAACTTAGTGACAGACAATTTGCAGGGAGCACATGTTCAACTTGAGTTCATATGCTGCAAAGAGTTCTGGAAATGTCTTACCATTTAAGTCTGCCCACGTTACCTACTTGATAAAACCAAAAAACGGACCATACGTATGCAGAAGGAGCTTCTAAGTTAAAGACATATATTACTCATAAAATGAGCACCACTTGTTACAGCAGTGCTAGTCTCTTTCTTTGTCGCTTTCGAAAGAATTTAGCTAACCTATGTTCTAAAGCTCAAAAATTCCACCCGTGGAGCTTCTAGCTAGGTCAGCAGCAGCCGGCATGGCCGCTTGTCTTGCTTTTTTCACTTTTTTTCCTTTGTATTATTTCACATTCCTAATGATTACCATAAATTTTGTTTACATACATATATACAAAGATACAATGTTTCATATCCATGCAAGATTGTCTATATACGAATATGTATGGGGTGGTAGTTTTGAAAACGACACGACAGTCTAAATAAAATAAAATGCGAAATAATTAGGTTCATATTAATCATAATAGTGTCAAATGGGTTGAAATGGTTAATAAACAAATTCGTTTATCAAGTCGATCTGCCTAACTAAAAAAATAACACACTTTAACATGTTTACATAATAGTGTAACTTGTTAACACTTATATGATCCACATAACTCGTAATATAAAAAATAAGCTCATTAAAATTGAAGGGAAACAACAAATTTAACCCTTTTATTTGATATACATTATGTTTTAGCACCCACTATTACGAGATATTATTGGCATTCCAAAAATGTCATTGTGCACTTTCAAATTTCTATATTTGGGAGAAAAATACAATTTTAAAGAGGAGTGCACGTACAATGACTTTTTTAGAGTGTCAGTAACACCAACTTGTTCTTATAAAGTTTTGTGGGCAATTATTACTGTATAAACACATTAAAAAACTGTGTCATGCGCGAATTAGGGAAACAAAAATTACGTGTTTATAATCTTGTCGTGTTCAGGTTAACTTTAATCACGTTCGTGTTGAATTCATGCCAACAAACCTTGAAATGCGAATACGAATTGCAACGCTTTCACGTACAACATTCAAACTCTAAATGGGCCCATTATGGTCCTGAGTGTTCATATATCTATATATGCAGCTACACTAGATGTTCAAAACCTATTAATTTATCGGCATCTTAATGCCATGTTACTCTTGGCTTTGATGAGATGGCACTATCTTTAAAGAACCTGATGTGAGAGATAAAGAACACAGAAATTGAACAATATATGTACATTGTGTTGCAAATCACCATATCAAAAGTCGGAATTCTCTGCATTTGAATTCAGAGTTCCACTCGAACACTCAATTAATCTGACTACGTTCATTGCCGCTGCATCAGCAGAAGTTAATGAACAGATTAAAGCTGTTTGAAATGACTAAAATGTTTGTTGTAACAGTAACTAACATGTGTGAAATGACTGGAATCGGTTCGAATCATGTATTCAACTTTTAGTTGAGAGCTTATCTTGAACCTCTTGCATTCGGGGAAAGTAAACTCGGCTCGTAAGACCGAAAAACATCAAAATCACTTGGACAAAAATGAGCTAAGAAACCGAGTGCCCTCCTTATGATACTCATAAATTGACCAATTGAAACATAAATAACTGTAACATATGCATAAGTGCATGCATACGTGTTTTACATTCATCTGTTCGTGCACGCAAACTTCTAATTCTTGTTCGGTCATATGCTTCGCTAGGACCCTTTGTTGTTCCTATACTAACCTTTAGTTAGCTATAAAGGAGAGATAAAACATGGAGTTTACCATAACTGTGGAAGTGCGGATCCACATGTTTACATCAACAACCATTCTTTGATCTTCTGTGATTGACACTGACGGGGAAACTTCAACGATGATCTAGCATGATCATGCATATTCGTATCCTGACGGTGGTTTTGACAGTTGGGGCGGCCCATCCATCATACTCAGTTTTCTTCTCACACTGACAATGTGGGCTTGGACCTATCAAGTTGAAGGCAATGTAAAACATGTTATTCTCCCAAAAATCCCAATACAGTCCACAGTCAGACCATTCAAACAGGCACAAAAGGAAGAGTGAAACAAGGCACAAGTCTGTACATTGAATTGGACGTAGCTACATGTGAAGCCAGGCCGATAAATTAAACGTTACAAAGTAAAGCTCATCGCATGCTTTCTGTATTGGTGAATATCACACGACACTCAACAATAAGATGGTATTAGACTTGACCAAAAGTCAGAAGAAAGAGGAACACAAGTCGCAAGAAATGACAAGGGCAACAGTACATGCAATGGGTCATAGCTACAAGTGAAACCCGCGATGAGAAAACTAAATCAAATGCATTCAAGATAGTGTGGGACATGTAAGACATCCAGCAATAACGACTCAGACTTGAACACAATGGACAGACCTCGTGAGGATACACATACACTATAAGGGAAGAGAAACAGATCATAATCACCAGCCCAATAGAAGCTAGTAATAGAACGTAATCTCTAGTAAGTAATCTTCTAAAGCAGCACCCTAAACATGACCACAATTTGCATGATCATATAAGCTCTTACCTTAAAAAAGGTTAAAAAGAAAAAGGAAAGGCCCATATTAGGTCCCCCCGCCGGGGGGGGAGGAGGCGGTGGAATTTGAGAATATGTTAGTTCCAAAGCATAAGCACTTTACAACGAGACCAAAACCAAAAACTATTAGCATTGTACAATGCACCAACACAGAATAAAACTTACAGCATTGACCACATTGATTAGTTAAAAAAGAAAGAGAACACAGCTACTAATTCTAACCTCTTGACGAGCCACTGCAAGTTTTAAGAGCTCATCAGCCTCTGAAAAATTCAAGAACCACTGACCAAGTGTATGATCCTTCGTGTCCCCTCATTCCTTGTCATTCTTCTGATCTATCGGCACTGAAAAAAAATCCAGGTAAGACAAATAAAATCAATGGATTATAAGAAGCGATGGTTCAAAATGATATAAAAAAGATACCAAAGCTACAAAATTTACCAGGATTAGGCAAGTTGAAATCAGCAGGTAAACGGGGCACTATAACAGCTGGATGGTTCTGCACACGAGCAAAACAGGCCTCTAAAGGATCAGGGAAAACTATTTCATCGTAAGACTCCACAACAACAGGTTTCTTGGTTGACTGGGGACCAGATTCATCTTCAGTATATAACTTCAAATGGTGATACCTGCATGATATGAGCTCAGGTAATTATTGTACTATCTTGTGGATGTTTTCAAGTAGATGAAATCAATATCAGAATACGCAACTCACAAGTCTAATTGTCTCTCAAAGACATCATTGTGGAAGAACAGACTGATGGAAATTTCAAATTCACCCAACCACATTCCGTTAACTCAAATGGGGGCGACTCAATCACTCTCATAGGGTTATTGAAACTAGGATGCAATTGAAATATAACTGGCTTTACCACCACTCCAAGGTCCTCGTTTGTTGCCCCACGAACATAAACCATCCACTTATGGGATTGAGACCTAATTAACAGAAAACATAAGCGGAAATTATTCAAAGGCACAAAAGGCATAAACAAGGACCCAACCAAATGAAAATACTTACTCACTGACCTTCCTGCCGAGGTAGAATGCAACTGTCCCGTATACTATTGGCACACATATATCAACATCCTTCAGTCTCCTGCTTGTGCTCTATGATAACCGAAACGGAAAAAAATCATCATAGATGTTATGCAATTACATCGAAAAATGAAAATTAAGCGGCATTCAAATATATGGAACCAACAAATGTATAAATCTTTCGCCCCTTCCCGTTGCTCCCTCAAAGTCAATGAACTAAAAATTTACAAATTGCAGAAATAAACAGCAAAAGGCTACAATTTGCGCACGAAAAAAGAAGAAAAGTTCAAAACTTTCAGCTTCTTATTGTCGTTCACAAGAAACCCACTAAATTATTGAGCTAATTTACAAATTTAAAACCAAAAAAATTGAACCCAAATGTTAAGAACGAACAGCAGAAGAATGCACTCCCTTCTTGTCTCCATCTTCTGTAGGCTTTGAAGTTCGGACTGGCTGCGACAGTTGGGCGGAGCCGCTACCCTCCTCCGGCTGAGGCGGTTCAGTTTCACCTGCTTTTCTCACTGACATTGTGCTGTTCAGTTTCACCTGCTTTTCTCACTGACATTGTGAGAAAATGACAAGCTTTTCGTTTTCCAATTTAAACAAAGGAATCCAAACAAGTAGTTCGTCGAACAAAGCAGAAAAGGGTTTTTCAATTGGGCATATTTGCTAATTGGTATTGCAATTCCCTTGCAATTAGGTTTCAGAAGGGGAAAATTGGAGGAGTAAATAGGGGTTAGGTTTTTAGTTCGTTTGCCTTTGTTTAATTTAAACGGGATTTCGAATTTGTTTGTTTTTTCACAGGGAAATTTTTTTTTTATTAATTTAAAATCAGTTGATAATTATTTTATTTTAAATTTTTTTTACTCGTTTCATAACTACATTTAGTTTCTAGTCAAATTCTAAAAATTAAAGAAAAAATAGCTTTCAAACTAAGTTACCACCGATGAAAACGAAATGACTATAAAACGGGTAAGACTTGCATAAAACAGAAATGTCAAGGTAATGATATCTTAAATCAACCATACGACGTCATGTGAAAAATTAAAACACGGCAACATGTTATAGATTTGGGACATTGCCGCCTCGGCATCTCTCCCTTTCCTGGAAGTCTTTCTCTAATAATTAGACTAGTTTAGAAGCCAACACAAATGCTGAGAAAACAGGAGCCGATTAAACTTCACGTAGCCTACAGATTAAACCACCGTGCTTGATATAAAACTTCACCGGAGTTCGGACAAATGCAGATCATTCACCAACAATATTCAAATGAAACCTATACAGCAAGTGAATAATAATTTAACAATGAGATCGCATTCCAATCAATGTATGATTTTCTGGGTTCAGTCCAGCAACAGCGCAAACACAGAACTAGATAGCGAGTTCAAGGGGCTCTTCACAATGTTACAATTGAAAGAAGGGGTCTCGGACATAGATTTCCATCTGGAGTCGCTCATTCCTGCATGCCTCTCTGGTATGTTGATAGGTGGAACTGATCCAAACCGTGTTGCAAGGCAAACCACCGGCCAGGTGAGCGTTAGCAAATTAGATGTTAAAAGCACTCAAAGCCATCACCTTGCATTGTTCATTCATGGCCAGAAGTTGGGCCTCTTTCTTGTCAAGAAGAGCGCTCAGCTTCACATTTTCTTCCATAAGTTTCTGGACTTCGGTCTCTTTCTGGATTTTCTCACCCTCTAACTGTGTTGTTTTTGCAACTAGCCTGTTTCAAAGCAGTATCAGATAATAAAGCACCAATATTTCCAGGTAGGGTAGATGGTTGTACAAAAGGACGAGTTTCGATTACTACACAGGCATAAACATATTACGACTGCTGCTTTAGAAACTTAAAACCTTGTGTCCACAAGGAAATACATTCATGTGAATGAGAGTGCACATATGCAGAATAAATTCAACAGATATGTTTTAAACATCATCAGTAGCATAAATACTTCAAATACATTTTCTCCGTCAATATTCTATGTACCTTAACCATGTAATTGAGACCAAAACAAGCTAAAGCTACTTTCTTAATGAAAGGATCTAACAGTACCAACCTAAAAATCTTTTTCTAGACATATGGTGCCTAGCAAAGCACTCAATCCATGATAATTACCATGGATTATACCAAGAATTATACTTAACCATTTCATGTTTGATGTCACTTGTCATGACACAAGCAATAAAGTGCCTAGCAAAGCACTCAATCCATGATAATTTGTAGGACAAACAAGAGAAAAACAAAGATAGCAAAGAATCTGGCATAACCAACTAAATGATCTAGCGGAAGCACTCAAGAAAAATGAATATGTATTTCAGAAGAAAACATACTCACCGCTCAAACAGTCTCTCTATAGTTTGAAACTGCTTCTCTGATGAAAGCAGAGTTTCTCGCACAGTGATAAGACTGCTGACATATGATTTGAGAGACTCAAAGTCCTGCTTCACACGACAAAGCTCCTGTTCGTTTTCTGCAGCTCGTAGCCGCTGTCTAGTAGTTTCTTCAACCAAATCCTCAACTCTCTGCCGCATTTCATTTAAAATACCATTTGTTCCTAGAGCGAAGCGTTCCATCTCCTCTAACTTCACAGACATGTTCTCAATTTGAACCGACTTTTTTTTAATTTCTTCCTGACCAAAAGTCACCTTCTCCTTCTCAATTGCAGTTTCAGATTCTGCCAGTAAAACTCTCTTGACAAGAGCTTCCATTACATCCGTAACCATCTGAACAGATTTAAGAAGTTCACCAATATAAGCCGCATCTTGTTCATCCAGAGGATCATGTTGGTTGCTAATCCCAACCCAAGTCTCTTCATCTAGACTATCAAAGGAAGTGAGATCAACATTCCTAGACCAACCAGACAACGGTGTACCATTTTTATCAACAAGGCCCACCCCTTCTAATTGTTTGATGCCGCATGATGTATGTGCTAAATGCGGAACAGCCATTACTCTTGCTTTTGATTTCAAGTATGTTAACACAGTTGCAGTAGTTTTAACTCTACGCCAAAGAACCTCTAATTCCTTTTTTGAATCTTCCTCGGACCCCTCTATGCAAAGCTTTACCTCCATAAGCTTTGTTTGTAAAACATTCACTTGGGATTGGCGCTGTTCTATCTCCTGCTTCCAAGGTTCATGTGTTTGACCCAGCTGAGACTTCAAGGTTGACAAGTCAACATCTTCCTCTGCTGCCATCCCCTGTCCAAAGTTACAAAAATGAAAACTTTGAAATTTAATACGACAGTGACCAGTTCCATATCAAAGGAATAACTACCAGTAGATCCTTCAAAGGAATAACACATGTGATAAGCAGAAAGCAAGGTGCCTAGTAACTCAAATAAACTTTATAGCATAAAAATATATACGAAGTTTCCATCTTGCAATATTTGGCACAGTGCTCTAGTTAATGCAGTTGAAATGCACACAAATCAAAATAAATCTAAGCTTAATCATATTAAACACATTCACCACTCCAAATTACTGAATCACGGAAAAAGGCTTAAATCCAAGCTGCATATGCGAGCACTAAGAACTGGGATGTCTGAATGATGTAGTTGTTCTAAGCTTCAAGCAATGTAGGTTATACACTCTAGCCCAACGAACCTAATACGTTGCTTAAACAAGACTTAAAGTCGAATAGAGCTACATCCACACCTCGAGAACAAATATTAACATGCATAAAAAAATGTTTTAGTTCGTCAATAGAGGAACAAATGGGTGATCATCACCCGAGCACTTTTCAGTATTTCACTGAAAAGCTACACAATCACTCAAACATGCAATCACATGACCAAACAACAACAGACCATCAAGTCATACGCATCCCTCAACTACGACTCGGTGAGTATTACGCAAAATAAATCTACCCAAAAACAGATTCAAGAAGATACAAAATGTGAATCATAAATCCAAGTCCATTTCCAGTTCAAAAAGTCTGAGAAATGGAGGTGAAGATTAAGGAAAATATTATTTGCACGGAAACTTAAATTACGCTTAATTAACAGCAATTGCTGCAACAATCACCAAATAAAACCCTAATTATCATATGTTGAACTTTTTGCTCTACAGTTCATCAAACTTTGCAGACAAACAATCCGATCTTAACAAAAGACCTAAACTTTGACCAAATTACAAAGCAGAAACTGAGAAAAGCACGTAAATTTCGAAAACAAAACGGAAAATCTAGCATCGGACGCACCAAAGAGAAGGAAACGATGAACGATTAAAGCAAAAAAGTAAAACATTGAGAGAGAGAGAGAGAGAGAGAGATGAGAAGGGACCTTCGGAATCGAGGAAAAGGCGAGGAATTCCGACGGAGGTTGGAGTGTGAGAGGAGCAGATGGGTGGGTGCTGGACACCGTCTTCCTTCGTCTTCGTCCAGCACGCCGGTGTTTTTTTTTTTTTTTTTTGGCTGGAGGGTAAGAGAGGACAATGATAACAAAGAGAGAATGTGAGAGGGAAAGAGCAACAGTGCCTGCTTTTTTGGGGACAAGGACTGTCTGCCCTTTGGCCCCTTTCGTTTTCTGTTTTCAAACGAGCCTCTGCCACGTATGTGAATTGACTCTCTTTTATTTTTTTTTTTTTAATTTGTAATGTATTTTTGTTCAATAACTATATTATTTATTGTTTCTTTTTAATTATACATATTTTAGTTATTGTTTCTTATAGATTTAAAAAAAAAAAAAAAAAATTGGATCTGCTCCGGACCTTAGTGTTCAGATCCTAAGGATCAACTAATCTAGGCTGTACAAAGTGAATTCAATGGTCTCCATTAACTCATTTTTCTAGCCCACCACACACTGAATCAACAGCTCTGATTTCTTTTATACATAAAATCATCACCAAGATGGATTGATCCTTATCCGAACACTACGGTCCGAAACGGATCCAATTCCAAAAAAAATGAACTTATAAGGGAAGGGGAAATACAATTTATTTAGGTATTATGAAAGCTTCACTTTTTTATAAATTGGGTAGTGTTATTCACACACTCTATTCTCAATATTCGGCAATCAAATGAAATTGAAAAATATCAATGTCCAAAAATTCTAAAAAGTATATAGGAGGTAAAAAATGGAGATGTAAACAACACTTTTCTATATATACAGATAACAAATATAAACTTGAATTTTTCGTTTGTAATGAAAAATGTCACATTTAAAAAAAAAAATTTTAATACAACAGATATGGGCGATGAAGGAATTGAATCTATCATTCGCTTACAATGATAAATGTTGTTCCTTTCATGCAAGCAATACTAAGAGAGGACGAATCGAACTTATGACCTTAGGCCTTGTTTTTTTGTTATAACTCAATAGTAGGGTTCAAAATCTTACCAAGGTAAGGGAGTCTGAATAAATATCATGTGATTCAAATATTCTTACCACTTGAGCTACAAATTATTTTTTATGATAAAATAGACAAGGCACATCACTATAATTAGCATTATGAATAAAATTTGTTGACTAATTATGTAATTTAGCGTGATTCCTCACTTTCAATATCAATGTATAACTATAAAGTTCTAAAAATTATGTTAGGTTTAGGTTTAAGTGGTCCTTGACTTCTGACTTTTGAGCAACAAGCTTCAAAACAACGTTAGCTTTTTTTTTTTTTTTTTTTTTTTTTTTTTTTTTTTTTTGGAACAAGTTCGTTTCCATTACACAGCATTTGTCGACAACAGTAGGTTGAGATAATGTGTTTCTAACTAGTTGTATATTTTTTTCGTGTCGTTTTCTCTTATCACGTAAATAATAATTAAAATTGTCTAAAGATCTGGAAAAAGACGAGTGGAGCTTAATATGCTTATATAGAATCCGAATCTTTTTTGTGAGGATCCGGGAATCTGTGAATCATATCCGTTTATCGTATATTATGTGGTCAGAATTTTTTTTAAATACTTTTATTTAAAACTTAAATACAAACAATACCTGACAAAAACTTATCGCAAGATGCACGATGAAATGACACGATTTACGAATCTCCATAATCTCACCAAAAGGATCTGGAGAGGATTTTGTTGGGTTTATATATACCGCATAAATCATTTTCTCTAAATATTACAACTTATTAAACAAAACTTCTTCAACAGTCGCACGATCCCCATAAGTTATATCTTTTGGAACTGTCGTGGACTTGAGTCGACACGGTGGTTCGTGCCTTTTATGGGCTTATCACGAAATATCAGCCCGTTATGATTTTTCTAGCAGAAACGAAGATGAATGATAATAGAGTGGATGGCATTCGGAGAAGAATGGGGTACCGTTTGGCTTCAATGTTTCTCTTATTGGTAAGTCTGGTGGTTTGACTCTCTGGTGGGATATACACTTAGAAGTTGTTATCGAGTTATTTTCAAAGAACCTTATAGATGCACATGTGCGAACGGTTGGGGCATCCACCTGGATGCGAGTGACAGGAATATATGGTACTGCCCATAGATCAGAGAAAGCCGAGTTTTGGCAATGGCTGCAGCACCAATTACGACCTACCTCTATTCATGGCTTTGTAGTGGTGATTTCAATGAATTTCTTTGGGAATCGGAGAAAACAGGGGGCTCGCCTGTTTTGTATAATATGCCTCAGTATTTAGCTGACTTTATGTACTTAGCGAAGCTAGTTGATCTTAGTTTCAACGGTCCTTCCTTTACTTGGCGTGGAACTCGGAATGGTGATCTAGTGGAATAGCAGTTAGATAGGGGACTTATCAATCAGATATGGCAAGATTCTTGGCTAGATACAGTGGTCACTCATGGAACGTTGTTGGGTTCCGATCACTGCCCGTTAATTATTCAAAGTGAGAACATGTGCCTAGTAGGGAGGAAATTATTTCGATTTCAAGCTTTTTGGGCAAAAGATGAGACTTGTAAACAGGTGGTGACCAAGTGTTAGGAGCATCCGTGGGGTGGCAATGCTTTGGTGAGATGGCAAAATCGTCTTGCCAATTGTAGATCTCAACTCATCCAGTGGAATCGGCGTACATTTAAGAGAAGGGAACTGAATATCACGGCCCTTATGTCAAAACTTACTAAGCTACAACAGAATTGGAGTGCCCATATTGATGAGATTACGGAAACAACCAAATTGGTGGATCGGTTGTTGGTCCAAGAGGAAAGTTTTTGGCATCAACGTTCCCGAGTGAAATGGCTAAGGGAAGGAGATGTTAATACCAAGTTCTTCCATCAATCTACTTTGCACCGCCGGAGGAGTAATCATGTGCTAAAACTGAAAAACGGAGAATGGTACGTGGGAGGAGAGGCCGCATAGAGTAAAAGGGCTTATTGATGATTATTTTATATCGCTTTTTACCTCTACGAGGTGGAGGGAGTGGGGAACCATTTTGGAGTATGTTCCTCCTTTAGTCACTGACAGTATGAACATGTCCTTGTTGGCTTCAATATCTGATGACGAAATTCAAGAGCCTGTGATGCAAATGGGTAGTCTCCAGGCTCCGAGACCCGACGGCTTTTAAGGTATATTTTATCATTCCTTTTGGGAGGCTCTTAAGACGGAGGTTCGTGCCCTCATCCATATCTCTAATGGTGGCTTATAACCTAAGTTTTCCCTTCCTCCCCCTCCAAAATCCACTCCAACCCAAAACCTAAACCAAATCTAAAACCTAAAACTTAAAATGAACCCAAATACCGGTCACAAATTTAGCCCACAAATTGAAGTGGGACCCACGAATGAGAGTGAAAAGTGCGTTGTGAAGCCCACACCCCAAAACCCAATCTCCCTCACGCGCATAAGCAGTGTAGCTGAAGGCCCACCCACGTGGGTTATCCCATCAGCTGTCAGTTTTACTGTAGCCCAACGGCTACTTTTCTTCATCCAACGGCTCCATTTAAATGGGCCGTTGGTTAATCTAACAGTCCAGGTTCAATTATTTTTTTTAAGTTTTATATTTATATATTTATTGAATCCAACGGCTTAGATCGAATATAATCAAATCTAACGGTAAAAAAAAAGATCTAACGGTCCAAATTTAAATCCAACGGCTAAAATAATTAAAAAAATTATTTAACTTAAAATTCAACCAAAAACTCTATAAATACCTATGTATTTGTTCAAACATCCATACAAAACTCACTTTTCTCCTACAATTCTTCCAATTTTTCTTTTTACCATTTCTTCTCATTTCCAAAATTTTTGAGATTGCAAAAGAGCATCTTAGAGGTCGTAATTGGACCTTTGACGAAGATATTGCTTTATGTTTGGTATGAATTTCTGTTAGCGAAGATAGTGCCGTCGGCACCAATCAAAATAGAAAGGTTTTGTGGGGTAAAATCGTTGATAAGTTCCATGAAAACTCCAACGCCGGTCAAAGGGAAGTTGGTGGTGTTTATGATTGGTGGAAGATTATCAACAAAGCCTGCACTTTGTGGAAAGGAGGATTGGAGAGAGCCATGGTTGACATGCCTAGTGGAAGGGGCGCCTCAGAAATTGTGAGTTTCTTTGTTGATATTTTAGTTGTCATGTACATAATAGTATTTTGCAACTAATTGTTTTTATGTATTTGTTACATAGGGTGACAAAGCAATGGCAATTTACAAGACAAGAACTACACCAAAAAATCAAGCTTTTAAGTTGCATCATGCTTGAAACATCCTCAAGGATTGTCCGAGGTGGGGAACAGATGCGAATCAACAATGTGGAAGATTATTTCATAATGAAGTCCCACCCTCAAATGATGTCAATGAAGGTGTGAATTTTGCTGACAATGAAGGTGTCGACCAAATGAGCCCAACTTCTTCTTTTCCAAGGCCCCCAGGTAGAGATAAGCAAAAGGAAGCAAAGAGAAAAAGGAAGTCCAAGATCCGATACGTGCACAATTTGCTAGTGAAATGGCAAGAATGAACGAAAACCAGTGCCGTCGGCAAGAAGAATCAGCCCAAATGTTTTTGGCCATGAAGGAAGAAGGGGATAAGGAGCAAGAAAGGTACGAAACTAATTTGATAATGGAGGACCTCGACAAATACACTCCAGAGAGGAAGAAATACTTACGTGGTAAACAAAAGGAAATTTTACGAAGGAATGCCACAAGGAGTATATTTCATGATGATGATTCATCTCAAGACTATCACCCAAGTCCATCACCAAGTCAAGGTGATGGATATCATTATTAAATTTATGTAGTCTATGAGTTTTCGATTGTATTAAGTTTATGTGGTTTATTAATTGTCTTTTTTTTTCTTTTTTTTTTTTTTAGTTTATGTGGTTTATCATGATTTTCATGTATTGATTTAGTGATTTTTCAAAATTTATCAGAATTTAAATATTTTTAGGTTAAAATATTCATAAAATTAATTTAAGATAGTCTACATAATTTTTTTTTAAAGTTAATTTAAAAAAAATTAGTCTTAATTCATTCTTTGATAATTTAGGGCTAAAATTTTAGGCTAGAATGGTTGGAGTAGAAAAACTGTTTCTGGGCTAAAACCTAAATTTTCTGGGCTAAATATTTTTAGGTTTTAGGTCACCATTGGAGAT